GCCCTCCACAACCCTCACGCAGCCCTCCACACCCCTCCCCCCCAGCCCTCCACACACCTCCCGCAGCCCTCCACACCCTTCCCCCAGCCCTCCACACCCCTCCCCCAGCCCTCCACACCCCTCACGCAGCTGTGTGTGTGTGTGTGTGTGTGTGTGTGTGTGTGTGTGTGTGTGTGTGTGTGTGTGTGTGTGTGTGTGTGTGTGTGTGTGTGTGTGTGTGTGTGTGTGTGTGTGTGTGTGTGTGTGTGTGTGTGTGTGTGTGTGTGTGTGTGTGTGTGTGTGTGTGTGTGTACTCACCTATATGTACTCACCTATATGTGCTTGCAGGATCGAGCATTGACTCTTGGATCCCGCCTTTCTAGCTATCGGTTGTTTACAGCAATGACTCCTGTCCCATTTCCCTATCATACCTAGTTTTAAAAGTATGAATAGTATTTGCTTCCACAACCTGTTCCCCAAGTGCATTCCATTTTTCTACTACTCTCACGCTAAAAGAAAACTTCCTAACATCTCTGTGACTCATCTGAGTTTCCAGTTTCCACCCATGTCCCCTCGTTCTGTTATTATTACGTGTGAACATTTCATCTATTTCCACTTTATCAATTCCCCTGAGTATTTTATATGTCCCTATCATATCTCCTCTCTCCCTTCTTTTCTCTAGTGTCGTTAGGTTCAGTTCCTTCAGCCGCTCTTCATATCCCATCCCTCGTAACTCTGGGACAAGCCTCGTCGCAAACCTCTGAACCTTCTCCAGTTTCTTTATGTGTTTCTTCAGGTGGGGGCTCCATGATGGCGCGGCATACTCTAAGACGGGTCTCACGTAGGCAGTGTAAAGCGCCCTAAAAGCTTCCTCATTTAGGTTTCTGAATGAAGTTCTAATTTTCGCCAGTGTAGAGTACGCTGCTGTCGTTATCCTATTTATATGTGCCTCAGGAGTTAGATTAGGTGTCACATCCACTCCCAGGTCTCTTTCTCGAATCGTTACAGGGTGTGTGTGTGTGTGTGTGTGTGTGTGTGTGTGTGTGTGTGTGTGTGTGTGTGTGTGTGTGTGTGTGTGTGTGTGTGTGTGTGTGTGTGTGTGTGTGTGTGTGTGTGTGTGTGTGTGTGTGTGTGTGTGTGTGTGTGTGTGTGTGTGTGTGTGTGTGTGTGTGTGTGTGTGTGTGTGTGTGTGTGTGTGTGTGTGTGTGTGTGTGTGTGTGTGTGTGTGTGTGTGTGTGTGTGTGTGTGTGTGTGTGTGTGTGTGTGTGTGTGTGTGTGTGTGTGTGTGTACTCACCTATATGTACTCACCTATATGTGCTTGCAGGATCGAGCATTGACTCTTGGATCCCGCCTTTCTAGCTATCGGTTGTTTACAGCAATGACTCCTGTCCCATTTCCCTATCATACCTAGTTTTAAAAGTATGAATAGTATTTGCTTCCACAACCTGTTCCCCAAGTGCATTCCATTTTTCTACTACTCTCACGCTAAAAGAAAACTTCCTAACATCTCTGTGACTCATCTGAGTTTCCAGTTTCCACCCATGTCCCCTCGTTCTGTTATTATTACGTGTGAACATTTCATCTATTTCCACTTTATCAATTCCCCTGAGTATTTTATATGTCCCTATCATATCTCCTCTCTCCCTTCTTTTCTCTAGTGTCGTTAGGTTCAGTTCCTTCAGCCGCTCTTCATATCCCATCCCTCGTAACTCTGGGACAAGCCTCGTCGCAAACCTCTGAACCTTCTCCAGTTTCTTTATGTGTTTCTTCAGGTGGGGGCTCCATGATGGCGCGGCATACTCTAAGACGGGTCTCACGTAGGCAGTGTAAAGCGCCCTAAAAGCTTCCTCATTTAGGTTTCTGAATGAAGTTCTAATTTTCGCCAGTGTAGAGTACGCTGCTGTCGTTATCCTATTTATATGTGCCTCAGGAGTTAGATTAGGTGTCACATCCACTCCCAGGTCTCTTTCTCGAATCGTTACAGGTCATGCATGCGCCCCCAACCTATCGTATCCTAACCAATCGAAAATCTGAAATAAAAAAACATTTCATATATGATGTTGAACTGTATAGCATCAGAAGCTTCAGGCTGATGAAGGCTTCAGACCCGCCTGAAACGTACGAGATCCAGGGAAGAGTTTCAGGCCCTCCCCAGGTGAGCGTGGACCCCGGAACAACCCATGACAACAGGGCCATTAGCCTCCCCGCTCGTTAGTGGAGATCCCACCAGTACGTTAGTTCCGAGGACCACACAATCCCCGTTGGTATAGGACTTCCTATAGTTATATAGGGACTATATAGCCTGATATAGGGTCATGGTGGCCCTTATAGGAAGTTTTGGGTCACTGTGACACCTCACCCCGGTCCACACCTCACCCGGTCCACACCTCACCCCGGTTCACACCTCGCCCCGGTCCACACCTCACCCCGGTCCACACCTCACCCCGGTTCACACCTTACCCCGGTTCACACCTCACCCCGGTCCACACCTCACCCCGGTTCACACCTCGCCCCGGTCCACACCTCACCCCGGTCCACACCTCACCTCGCCCCGGTCCACACCTCACCCCGGTCCACACCTCGCCCCGGTCCACACCTCACCCCGGTCCACACCTCACCCCGGTCCACACCTCACCCTCGCCCCGGTCCACACCTCACCCCGGTCCACACCTCGCCCCGGTCCACACCTCGCCCCGGTCACCCCGGTCCACACCTCGCCCCGGTCCACACCTCGGTCCACACTCGCCCGGTCCAACCCTCGCCCCGGTCCACACCTCACCCCGGTCCACACCTCGCCCCGGTCCACACCTCGCCCCGGTCCACACCTCGCCCCGGTCCACACCTCGCCCCGGTCCACACCTCGCCCCGGTCCATACCTCACCCCGGTCCACACCTCGCCCCGGTCCACACCTCGCCCCGGTCCACACCTCCACACACCTCGCCCCGGTCCACACCTCGCCCCGGTCCACACCTCGCCCCGGTCCACACCTCACCCCGGTCTACACCTCGCCCCGGTCCATACCTCACACCCGGTCCACACCTCACCCCGGTCCACACCTCACCCCGGTCCACACCTCGCCCCGGTCCACACCTCACCCCGGTCCACACCTCGCCCCGGTCCATACCTCGCCCCGGTCCATACCTCACCCCGGTCCACACCTCGCCCCGGTTCACACCTCGCCCCGGTCCACACCTCGCCCCGGTCCACACCTCGCCCCGGTCCACACCTCGCCCCGGTCCACACGGCAGACAAGGGGCCAGGGCTCGAACCTGCCCTGTCACCACCACCTTCCTCTGGCTGAGAATAATATTGGAAATAAATCATTCAAACAGCGGCTGGCCCATGGGAGGGGAGATATGAGAGGGGGGAAGTAGAGGGGAAGGAAGCGATGGGAGAGAGAGAGAGAGGAAAGAAGAGATAGGAAGGGAAGAGGAGGAACAGTAGTGGAGCTCCACACCCCCCCACACACACCTGCCACATGTGAAAACATCGTAGCAAATATTCCCACCAAAGTCTCCCAAATAGTCAGACGAGCTCCCAAAATATTGACGGCGGGTCTGAGACCTTAATTACACACCTGAAACATTAATTAGAAGACCCAAAAATCACCAGATATTCGCCGGCCCAAAATCATTTTTTTTATCTATTCCAAAAATGTGGAGAATATTGGTGTGTAGCTGAGAGAATGAGATTCTCCATTTTGTGTAATGAGGCATGATAGCTGGTAACTTGTGAGGGGGTAGGGAGTACGTGGCCTGGGAGGGGGGGGGAGGGGCTGGGAGAGGAATGAGGGAGAACTGGGAGAGGCAAATGGGAGAGGAAGAGAGTAGGAGGCATAAGATGTGACCATTAACCTTCAATGGTTACTATCATCTCTCCTTTGTCTCTCCTTCACTCCCTCCCCCCTTCCCTTTCTCTTCCTCTCCCTTTTCCTTAAATCCTCCCTCCTTCTCTCTTACTCCCTTTCCATCTCGCACTCTTCCCTCCTCTCTCTCCCTTATGTTGTACTCTTCAAGTCACTTGTGTTGTCCCGTCTTGAGTACTGCTCAGTACTCACTTTCCCCTTCAGAGCAGGAGAGATTGCTGAAATAGAGGGAATACAGAGAACATATACGGCACGCATAGACGAGATAAAACACCTAAATTATTGGGATCGTCTCAAAGCTCTCCAAATGTACTCACTAGAAAGGAGACGAGAGAGATACCAAATAATATACACCTGGAAGATACTGGAGGGCCAGGTCCCAAATCTACACAGTAAAATAACAACGTACTGGAGTGAACGATATGGAAGAAAATGCAGAATAGAACCAGTGAAGAGCAGAGGTGCCATTGGATAGTTGACATGGAGTGACTTGCGCGCGCACACACACACACACACACACACACACACACACACACACACACACACACACACACACACACACACACACACACACACACACACACACACACACTCTCTCTCTCACACACACACCACTAAACACGATGTACAGGATGTGACGTTCCCTGTTAGAAGTCACTTTATCTCATAATTAACCCATTACTCCGCCTCACTTACCGCCTATGGCAGCCACCTGAGAGAGAGAGAGAGAGAGAGAGAGAGAGAGAGAGAGAGAGAGAGAGAGAGAGAGAGAGAGAGAGAGAGAGAGAGAGAGAGAGAGAGAGAGAGAGAACACTAACTGGCTTCATCTTTCCAGGTAAGCGATGGATGGCCACTAGAGACCAACACCAGGTAAGGTGGCAACTGTCCTCCCATTATCTCTCATTGTCCAACTTTGCACTGGGATTACTGAAGGGATGGTGCCCATCATAGGGCGGGTCGGGGTCATCCATATTACCCTTATCACAACACACCCGGTTAATGGTGACTCTTACAATGGGTCGACCCATTAAAAGATAATTCAAAACAATTTTTTTTTTGCTATGTAGTAAGATATTATGCAATAATGTCGATCAAATAAAATAAAATTTTACACAGTATGTGTAGTGTGTCCAGAATGTGTCCAAACCTGGAGCATGTGTCCAGACCTGGAGGAATGTGTCCAGACCTGGAGGAATGTGTCCAGACCTGGAGGAATGTGTCCAGACCTGGAGGAATGTGTCCAGCCCTGGAGCATATGTCCAGACTTGGAGCATGTGTCCAGACTTGGAGCATGTGTCCAGACCTGGAGGAATGTGTCCAGACCTGGAGCATGTGTCCAGACCTGGAGCATGTGTCCAGACCTGGAGCATGTGTCCAGACCTGGAGCATGTGTCCAGACTTGGAGCATGTGTCCAGACCTGGAGCATGTGTCCAGACCTGGAGGAATGTGTCCAGACCTGGAGCATGTGTCCAGACCTGGAGCATGTGTCCAGACCTGGAGCATGTGTCCAGACCTGGAGCATGTGTCCAGACCTGGAGGAATGTGTCCAGACCTGGAGCATGTGTCCAGACCTGGAGCATGTGTCCAGACTTGGAGCATGTGTCAGACTTGGAGCATGTGTCCAGACCTGGAGCATGTGTCCAGACTTGGAGCATGTGACCAGACATTGGAGCATGTCCTCCAGACCTGGAGCATGTGTCAAGACCTGGAGCATGTGTCCAGACCTGGAGCATGTGTCCAGACTTGGAGCATGTGTCCAGACCTGGAGCATGTGTCCAGACCTGGAGCATGTGTCCAAACCTGGAGCATGTGTCCAAACCTGGAGCATGTGTCCAGACCTGGAGCATGTGTCCAGACCTGGAGCATGTGTCCAGACTTGGAGCATGTGTCCAGACCTGGAGCATGTCTGGAAACCTCGAAGGTCCTCCAAGGGACCAGCCTGGAAGGTCCTCCAAGGGACCAGCCTGGAAGGTCCTCCAAGGGACCAGCCTGGAAGGTCCTCCAAGGGACCAGCCTGGAAGGTCCTCCAAGGGACCAGCCTGGAAGGTCCTCCAAGGGACCAGCCTGGAAAGTCCTCCAAGGGACCAGCCTGGAAGGTCCTCCAAGGGACCAGCCTGGAAGGTCCTCCAAGGGACCAGCCTGGAAAGTCCTCCAAGGGACCAGCCTGGAGGTCCTCCAAGGGACCAGCCTGGAAAGTCCTCCAAGGACCAGCCTGGAAGGTCCTCCAAGGGACCAGCCTGGAAGGTCCTCCAAGGGACCAGCCTGGAAGGTCCTCCACAGGACCAGCCTGGAAGGTCCTCCAAGGGACCAGCCTGGAAGGTCCTCCACAGGACCAGCCTGGAAGGTCCTCCAAGGGACCAGCCTGGAAGGTCCTCCAAGGGACCTGCCTATAAGGTCCTCCAAGGAACCAGCCTGTAAGGTCCTCCAAGGGACAAGGAAGGTCCTCCAAGGAACAAGGAAGGTCCTCCAAGGGACCAGGAAGGTCCTCCAAGGGACCAGGAAGGTCCTCCAAGAGACCAGGAAGGTCCTCCAAGAGACCAGGAAGGTCCTCCAGGGACCAGGAAGGTCCTCCAAGGGACCAGGAAGGTCCTCCAAGGGACCAGGAAGGTCCTCCAAGGGACCAGGAAGGTCCTCCAAGGGACCAGGAAGGTCCTCCAAGGGACCAGGAAGGTCCTCCAAGGGACCAGGAAGGTCCTCCAAGAGACCAGGAAGGTCCTCCAAGAGACCAGGAAGGTCCTCCAAGAGACCAGGAAGGTCCTCCAAGGGACCAGGAAGGTCCTCCAAGGGACCAGGAAGGTCCTCCAAGGGACCAGGAAGGTCCTCCAAGAGACCAGGAAGGTCCTCCAAGGGACCAGGAAGGTCCTCCAAGGGACCAGGAAGGTCCTCCAAGGGACCAGGAAGGTCCTCCAAGGGACCAGGAAGGTCCTCCAAGGGACCAGGAAGGTCCTCCAAGGGACCAGGAAGGTCCTCCAAGGGACCAGGAAGGTCTTCCAAGGGACCAGGAAGGTCCTCCAAGGGACCAAGTCCTCCAAGACCAGGAAGGTCCTCCAAGGGACCAGGAAGGTCCTCCAAGGGACCAGGAAGGTCCTCCAAGAGACCAGGAAGGTCCTCCAAGGGACCAGGAAGGTCCTCCAAGGGACCAGGAAGGTCCTCCAAGGGACCAGGAAGGTCCTCCCAAGGACCAGGAAGGGGACCAGGAAGGTCCTCCAAGGGACCAGGAAGGTCCTCCAAGGGACCAGGAAGGTCCTCCAAGGGACCAGGAAGGTCCTCCAAGGGACCAGGAAGGTCCTCCAAGGGGGACCAGGGACCAGGAAGGTCCTCCAAGGGACAGGAAGGAAGGTCCTCCAAGGGACCAGGAAGGTCCTTCAAGGGACCAGGAAAGTCCTCCAAGGGACCAGGAAGGTCCTCCAAGGGACCAGGAAGGTCCTCCAAGAGACCTGGAAGGTCCTCCAAGGGACCAGGAAGGTCCTCCAAGAGACCAGGAAGGTCCTCCAAGGGACCAGGAAGGTCCTCCAAGGGACCAGGAAGGTCCTCCAAGGGACCAGGAAGGTCCTCCAAGAGACCAGGAAGGTCCTCCAAGGGACCAGGAAGGTCCTCCAAGTCCTCCAAGGACCAGGAAGGTCCTCCAAGGGACCAGGAAGGTCCTCCAAGGG